TTTTGCCAAGACACCGACTTTTCCCACGGGTGTTTTTAATTTTCTGAATGAATGATGGTGCGCCGGTTTAATTGCTGCGCCAGAAACTGAAAGTGAAACTTAGGTCCATTTCCGTTCGTCATAAAGCTCGTTTTCCTGAGTTTAACTCAACAGTCAAGAAGGTATGTTAGGTACCAGGTTAAAGTATCCCAGTATTTCCTTTTTTAGGCCTAGTATAAAGCCCTGATAAAGCCTTGACCACCCTCTGGCCACCCTTTGTATAAAAGTATAGTTCCGCCACTGCTCTCAGTGGAGATAAAAGCTTAATGATGAAGAGTGAAATTGAGTACATAGGAGTGAGCTGGAAGGAACGGGAGACGTTCTTCATCTCCCATCTCTTTTGTATTTTGTGGGATTGTTTGAAATTCTCAGTTTTTGTTTTGCAGGTTGGTGTGGCAGGGTTACAGAAACAACAAATGGCTAACCATTAAGTAAGGCTGCAATGTTAAAGAGTTACACAAAGTACCAACAGGATCCATCAGCCTTGCTGGGAATATGGACAGGCTCAAGGTCTAGAGCTTAAGAGCATACGGTGATTTTAATAAATGAATGAAAGATATTGATTGGGGTATAGCTAGCGTGCTCGTCGCAGAAAAACAAAAACAGTGTCAAACAGGAGCTGCGTCTTGTCACAACACGGACCTCTTCGCTTGTATCACAGCACTGTTGCATGGGCTAACTGTGATAGCTGCTGCCTCTAGCCAGTGAGTGGTTGTATTAGGGAGGAGAGCGAGGCAGAATGAGTAACAGAATAGAAGAAGAACGGATGAGTGGACAATAGGCTCATCAGCCTCCCAGTGACCACGGCCAGGACCGGCCAGGACTAGACACAGCAGGTTCAGGCAGAATCAGGACAGGCAGGAGGAGAGGAGCGAGTTTGTAGTGAGTTGATTTGCAAGTAATGTTATACATCATCCAATTAGAAGCATAACCACTTTCTGTTATTCACACACACAGTTTTTAAATAATTAATATAATAAAACTAACTAATAACTACTAGGAAATAAATATCTTGATGAAATAATTAATAATAATTAAACCAAATAAGATAAATAGGCAGAAAAGTTGACCAGGAAAAGAAGGGATGAGGCCACAGTTAAAGGAAGAGATGTTACAAAACATTACATTAAAAAGATTATAAAAAAGGTCTGTGCGTGGTGTATAATACATGAGGGTATGGTGCTTTGTTTACTGAACACTGTTTACTACTTTTATATGGAATATGGGATAATGCATATACATTATAACGGAAGATTTGTCAAGTAGAGTGGTGAAAGGCTGCCGATAAGTGACTTGAATCCATCCTGAAAGCAAAGTAGAACAGACAATTTCTATGGAGTTCATAAGTTTTGGGGGTACAGAGGACTAAAAAACAAATCTCTAGTTGACTAGATGTAGGGACAATCTCTCTCTCACACAAACATGCACACTTCCAAGAACAACAGGTAACTAACCCTGAACGCGCCCCAGATGTACACTGTTCCATCGTCTGTGAGTGCAGCTGTGTGGCTGTCCCCTGCCGACACCTGGACCACCTTCCCCGCCAGAATCACCTTTCCTGGAACCATCTCAGACCCCTCCTCTGATGTGTCCCGACCAAGGGCCCCCTCGTCGTTACAGCCAAAAGTGTAGACCTACAAAAGAAAGAAAAACAAAAAAACAAATCAGTTTATCTAAACTAAAGGGAGCCACAGCATTAGCCACTGAAGTTTCATTTTAAAAGAAATAAAACAGGTGGTCCCTTACATGACCAGTGTCACTGAGGCAGACAGTGTGCATTCCTCCAGCAATCGCTTGGATAATTTTCTCTGGCAGGGTCACAAGGGCTGGCTTCTTCCTCTGAATGACATCCTCGCCTTGACCCAACTGTCCAACATCACCCTGGCCCAGAACAAGCACCTGGCCTCCTTCCTTGCCATGACTCGTGTGGGAAACTGTTAGACACACACACACACACACACACACACACACACACAGAGTTGTGTCGTTCCATCATGTCAGAGGATGTTACATTGGCTTACAAACATTTCCTGGAGACCAACCCAAACCTTAAACTAAACCTGCACCCCAACCATTACCCAAGTGTCAGCCCTAAAACTGATTTATGTGACGGAACAGATTTAGATCTCCACAACATGAGTAACACATGTCCATCAGTTTAATATAATCGCAGATGTTATTAGTCTAATAAGACCAAACTTAGCTGTGGCAGCCTGGGACATAAGGCAACTAATTAAAACTACGGTGGCTTATTTATTTTACTTGATTTGGTTTGAAATGCATCTACATTGTATGTTTAAATCAAATCATCACACACACACACAGAAAAACAACTACACTGTTTTGCCGTCAGCGACTAAAGACATGTGTCTACCCCATTCTAGTTGCCTTTCTCAACCCTTTTCTGAAAAGGTCACCGATTTACCTTTCACTTTCTTAAGGTCTTTCTCATCCTCCACAATAGCATCAGACTTCCTCTTGGTGGTGGTCTTTTTAGCTGGCATGACAGCAACACGTGTAACAACTACGGGGAAAAACAAAAGCAGAGTGATTAACAACCTTAAAGAAGAAATTCAAAGTTGAAATTGAAAGCCTTTATTGTCATTGTACACAGTACAATGAGATTTAGAGAGCAGCGCCGTAAAAGTGCACACATAATTATCACCATATACACACATAAATACAATACAATACAATAAATGCATTTGAAATGAGTGGTTTATGAACACAGGAATGGCATCAAAACGTCCACCATGGTCTCTCTACTGCACATCTTAACACCAGTGGACTTTATAATAATGTTGTGGGGCTTTGAGTGTGAGGTATATCCGTGGTAAGCAACACAGGCATCTTCAGAAACTCACAAGTCTACTAGCAAACGCAGCTGAGCGACAAACATTATCCAGAAGCTGTTGGGGTTTAACAGCTGTCAGAAAGTCATTTCAATGGCTGGCACAGTATCAGGTTCTTTCAGCCCACAGCCAGCTGTGCTTCCTCCCTCCTGTCCACATGCTGTTATGAGTTCAATATCCGCAAAACAAGGACAAGTTAAACTGGACTCACGCTCAGCTCCCAGTCACACCATCGACTCTTTCATAGACATTAACCATTTGTGAGAACACAAGTCTAGATACTGCCGTCAGAGCTTTTAACATTTAACATTCAACATAAGCAGGACAGATGCAAACCGAGGTTTAAAATAGGCAGCGTGATCTAATGTTCACGTTGGCACTGCCCATGTGTCCTTGCTAACATGCAGACAGCGCAGGTCACCAAACGAGCTGCACAAGCTGCAGTCTGATCCGCAAATAAGTGTGACACAGTCGGCTGGGTGCTAACACAGCACTAATGTAGGATGAAAGTCGTGTTCTTGCCATGTAGCAAAAGTTAGTCAACGTTAGTCTGCCTGCTGACACTAGCTAACGTTTGCTAACAGGCTAGCGGCGTTAGCATGACGCTCGGGAACGAAGAAGCTACAGTGACATCATTTATTGAATGAACTGCACACACGTCGCACAGGTGGCTCTTCCTGCCGCCTGTGTTTTGCAGTCGCACAGTTGAGTCGCTGTTAGTTTACTAACCTGAGAAACGTAGAAAAACCAAAGTCAGTTTGCCCACAAGTGAACGTGCGCTGTCCGTTCCCGGTCTTGAGGCGCGTAGCAACGTGCGCACGACGTCACGTTCTTTGGGGCCCCGCCTCCTTAAAGAGACAGTAGCGCTCACATCTGCAGGAGCAGGTCGTCTACTTAACACAGTCTAACCCTAACCCAGACATGTAAAAAGTTCCCTCTCATGCAAAAAAAGAACAGAAAGAATGCTTGATAAGAATAATTAGGTGAGTAAGGATTTACAACAATCAATAAAAGTACTGATTATGCAGCAAAAGAGGTGTTAAATCATATATTAAAGCCTGTTTGCCTATTATTTGATCATTGCTGATATTTTACATGTAAGTAGCACATTATTGTTGCAGTTTATTTGAACTGCTATATACTGTTAGGCAATATGTTACCTATATCTCTATAATGTAGACCTATATCATATAATTATACTTAACCATTAAATATTATTATAAATGGTAACAATATGTTTTATGTATTAATTCATATTCAAATATGTGATCCAGGTGTAAATGGTCTCTGGATTCAATGTTATTACTCCCGGATTAACAGGTCTTTTGGATGGTTTAACCTTCATCCATTTTCTATTGCATTTGTGACATTTATGAGTTTTGAGGTTCAAGTGGAGTTTAAAAATATACACATGAACATGACGTTATAAATTGTGGCCGGCATAAATTTGGATGTACTCCACTTGTAATATATTAAAGTGTGAGATAGTATGGATCTAGTTCAGTCTTTGTTATAAGACTGTTTATTGTAGTTTAGTTTATATCAATCACTATAAACATAACAATTCTGTTTCTGGTTGGTTCTGTATAATTCTCTTAGCTAATGTAATGTTGATCATTTAATGTAGCTTTAATTAGTTGACTTTTTACGGTTTACAAAATATACTGCTTTAAACCTTTGACATGTACATTCACAATACCAGATTTTATTAAAAAACAAGGTCTCATAGGAATTTCGTTATGCATTTATATACCACCTCAATAACAGACAAACACCTATCCAGCCACCAGGTGTCACTGGAGCCTCATATTCTTACTTTCTTTAAACTTTCCCTGCAATTCTCCACCTGAACACAATTATTGGGTAAGAGAGGTCTATTGATTAAAGAGCCAGGTGCGCAGATGCTTCAAGGAATTGTAAGGTTTTTAATTAGATCCAGATGTGACTATTTACAATTAAAAAGAAAACTGTCAGTCCATACAATTCCACATTCAATTAAAAATGAACTTAGTTTTACAGAAAAGGTACACTTTCATATTCCCATTCTTTGTATCATTTAATCATTAACTAATATTCTGTGCTTAAAAAAATAGCAACCTATAATACTTTTATATTTAAAATTTCTTTTCAAATGAAAGGAAGACAAGATATACACAAGCATCAGTTAAACCTATATCAACCTGTACACAGCATAGAGAACCCTGTAAGCTACTGGCCAGACAACAATACAAGATAAAACAACTTCTGCAGTTTCAAAAGGTTCCAGCCAAAATGACTCCCTGTTGACCGTTTATACATTTTCAGATTTTTTTGATAATTCCCTGATCTACACTCACGGCATCTTACATTTAACTCTTAGTATAGACACTACTAGCATGACCTTATTCGAAATGGCTACAGAATGCATTGCATGTTTGATCTTTAAAGGGAAGTACAAAAACTCATAAAAAAGTATAAATGAAGAGAGATTATCCAGGTCCAATGGCATTGGATTCTGTGTTGGCTCATGCGGTGGATTGCAGAAATTATTGATATGAAAACCTGTGTCCTATAGTGCTTTAGGCATTGGGTATGTTGGCACACATAAAAACACCAACAGCCTCCTGACCTGCACCTTTTTCTATATCTAGATTGACACTTAAATGGCCACCTCACATCACAACCATAAATACAGGCAAGCCAAATAAAAAAAAATAATAATAAAAAGGCTCAAATAAAAGCTGTCACTACTTCTGTGATCAAAATTACAATATAAAATATCTTGTGCATTACAGAATATTTTGTAATTAGATCTTTCCAAGTTTCATTCTAAGATATAACAATAGCAGTCTGTACACAATTTATATAAAACATACACAATATCCCAGAGATGTCCAGTCCTATAACAGAATATCCCAGTCTTCATCCTCGAACCTCGCTCTTGCAGCAGCCGTTTGTCTCTGTTATCTATTATTACTGTGTGGAGTATTATAAGTCATCATCATTATTATTACCATTATTATTGTATGTTATTACATTAACAAGATGAATTAGCTTTTCCATATACAGTAAAGAAGAAAAAAGGCAACACAGAATGAGGCCGCATTAAAGGTTGTAGCTAGATCCAAGTCCCTGAGGGGTACCACATAACAGCAGACTGAGAGTAAGCCCTGTAGGTCCTCTGTCACTTCTCCACTTCATTGGCACGTGGTTCCCCCTGTCGTCCGGGAGAAATACTGCATCTGGTCCTCACCCACCACCACCTCAGTTTAGTGAAAGCAATGTAGTGGGAGGGCGATGGAGGGCAAGCGAGAAGCATTCTTTTTTTTTTTTTGAGTCAGTTCCAGGTTTTCCCTGATAATCTGTACATTACATTCGGGAAACGTAAAAGGGCAATCTGTCTGCATAGGGAGCAGCTTCTTGCCACACAGAGATCTTAAGTGCTTCATTATCCATGAAGAGGGGGAAAGCTAAGGCCGATGAAACCTAAACAAAACAAAGAAATCTCATGAGGCAGACATTCACTTTAAGTTATAATCCTTAAGATTTTCTTTGGGCTGTTTATGCCTTTATTTTTTAGAGACAGCTGAAGACACACAGAAAAGTGAGGAGAGAGAAGGGATAACATGCAGTAAAGGATCACAGGCTGGAATAAAACCCGGGCCGCTGCAGTAAGGACTGAGCCTCGCTAGCTCTACCAGGTGGGCTACCAGGGCACCCCAATAACATTTTATGCTATTTATGGCGGCCATTTTTCAGCAATAGCCATTCAAATGCATTTATATTCTGTAATTATGTCTCTATATAGTAGTTTTCATTGTTAGTGGCGGGGTCTGCCATATCTATGCTGCACAAAGAATTCACAGGAAAGGATGCATGTACGTAATCCAACATTACTGTTTTTAATGTTATCCACGATTGGTTTGACTCACAGCATCACTAAAATGATATAGCTGATAGCAATGTGCATTGATAAGAGAACTGAAGCAGACATTTAATGCAAAAGTTACTTTCCCTGGTAACTAATAACTTGTAGTAACTCAATTACTTTTGAAAGAATTAACTAGTAACTGTAACTAAGTAGTACTACTACTAGTAGTTTCAGTAACTTGACACTGATCCTGACTGTATCACAGCTGTATAACATTACTTCTAATGCAAACCAAACATTTCAGCTGCTGCTTCACGTTAAAAGTGGGGGTGAAACAGGGTGTTGGCTTTTATTGAGAAGCAGACAGACTTTAGCACAGACATGACAAAAGTCATTTTCTTCCGTCGTACTTCTGACAAAGTAACTGCACACAGAGCTGGTACCACTTACTGTTACCATGGTTACCACAGGTGTCGCCGAGTCAACCAGGACTAAAATCTGAAAGATTATAATGTCAGGCTCGAACTGATAAAAGGTATACCTCGTGTAGATTCTGCTCTCTTCATGAACCTCCATTTCAGTGCTTTTATAATCGTTGAGCTCTTTCCGGATGGCCGCCTGGATGAAACAACAGGAAACAGATTGCCAGTTAAACGTGAACTTAAAAAGGAAACACATGCTAATATGATGTGATATGTTGGTTGCATTTATTGGGCTTGATAAGAGCTCACTGGAGATGGCAAACTGAATAAGTACCTTGTCAGCAGGAGTCAGCTTGGTCCACGGCTTTTCTGCTCTCCTATCATAGTCTTGGGCATCTGTGACTTCCACGTACTCGTGGAACCGCAGGATTTTTCTTGCCTGTAGTTCTGCAACTGTGGGTCTTTGACTCAGCTACGATAAACAGAGTTTTTATGTCAGTTCAGTAGCCAGCAAAATACATGATTTGACACTGATGTCTGTTGTAGATGTGTTGCCTCACCTTCCTGGTCAGTCGCCGCTTGATCTCTCGAACCTCAGCTTGTCTGTCAGCCAGATTTTTGGCTGAAAAAAGACAAGAAAAATCATCAACAACAACAACAGAGCTTTATTTAGATGCTTCATGAAAGCCAGGTCTGATGTGCACCAAAGGTAGAGTTTCCAAAATTAGACATCTTAACGGCGATCCATTTTTCAAACTGTCTTTTCAAGTCAATTCTTACTATAACTGCAAGTATGAAATGTTATTCTTTTGGTCATTATGAAGAACTGGCTCGGAAAGTCAAACATCTGACTTTATTTACATTGTCAAGAATAATTCATAGACAAATCATCAGTCCAAACTGAACTGTGATGTTTGTTTTCGAACAGAATCCCTCTTTTTTTAGCGGAGGCATTATAAGGTTCAGTAATGGATAACAAAGGTGAAAAGGAAAGAAAGACTTGATACTAACGCTGAAGGATGTTTCTTTGCTCGAGCTCCTCAGCAGTGGGTCTCTGGCTAAGTCGCCTGAAGTGGAAAAAAAAGAAAAAAAGAAAAGAGTATGACTATTTTTACACTTTGTCATTCCGGCAATAAGTAGGACAAAGATCTAAGAAATGATCTCCTGATTTCTTCAGGAACATGTACAGTCGCTGTTGTTAGTTTAAAGGATACAAAAGAATGCAATATGTACAAAGGCATGATGCCATCTGTCTTTACCTTGTTAGTGCGGTGCCGATCTGTGTGCGGATGGCCTCCCACTGCTCCCTGCTCTGCCAGGTGAGGCCGGTTTGTCCTGGAGGCTGGTCGTCTCTGCTGCTCCTCTCCTGGGTAAACCTGTCTCTGTCTGGGGCACAGGGGCGGCTGCTCAGCTTCAGAGCCAATGTGTCCTTCCTCTTGACCCTGCTGGCCAGGGCGCCTGGATACAAGCCAAACAGAGATGTGGTCAGGAGCACAAAAACAATGCAAAACACTAAAAACAGTAAATCATTTTAAAATATTTTCATAAAATACAGTTATTACTAGGTGGGGGCTCATCTTCCTCATCTTCATCTGAGTCTTCATCTTTATACAGCACAGGACCGTCTGAGTCGCTGTCCTCCCCACGCATATCATGCTCTCCTTCCTCATCCTCTTCCTCTTCGTCTTCTTCCTCACTGCTGTTTCCCCCTGGGATGACACAAACACCGGCGTCTCCAACATAGCATCTGCGACTCCGTGGCTCCAGCTCTGGCTGGGGGATCTCCCCATCGTACTCTTCCTCTTCCTCGTCATCTTCCTCCTCTTCTTCTTCTTCCTCCTCTGAGTAGTCATCTTCAGATCTAATCGAAAGGGAAAATAAATACATATTTAAGCATTATGGATACAGAAAGCCTGTTTGTGTGATAAAATAATTTAGAAGTAGCTTTTGCACTTAAACAAGATTAATTAAAAATGTATGTCTTTAACAAATACTTTAGCCTAACCAGGAGACATATCCCACCATCACTCTAGCTATACCTGACTTTGTAATGATCAGGGGAAGATTTGTGTCAGCTCTAATCTAAGTGTACAATGTTAAACAAAAATGTGTGTGGAGGCATGTGGCCATGTGGTGGCATGGCCACATGCAAAGCTAAATCCCACTAAAGCTCCCGTCTTCATCATGTAACTGTGTATTCACGTGTGCTAACTTGTGATTCTGTCTTCACAGAATAGCTTTGTTTTACAAAAGTTCTTCCATTATGTACTGAGAAACTCACAATTTTAGTGGTTGGATGCTGACAGGAAGGGGGCGACCACGATCTCCTTGGTAATCCGAAGGGGTTTCAAAAAGCAGTGTGTGTGCACGCTGTGACCCGTCTGGATGCGGCTGAGCCGGGCCGGGACTGGACAGGGCCCGCTGGATCATGATATGCAGTGGGACAGGAGCTGGGCGCTGGGGAGACTCATTGGTCGGGCTTGGTGGATCAAACAGCATGGGTATGGGTTGGGGCAGTGGGTGGGGGTAGGAGTGCTGATGGTGCAGGTGGTGGCTGTGTATGTGTTGGCGGGGAGGAGAAGGTGGTATGTGTGTTGGGAGGGGAGGGGAGGGAGGAGGCGGAGGCAGCTGGAAGCCCACAGAGAGGTTGCTGTGGTCCTCCAGAGAAAGCGGTGAGGGGTTCATGGGATGGCTTGAAGCAGAGGAGTCCTCTGTGTTGCGTTTGGTGACGGGGGTGGTCCTCTTCGGAGGCATCGGTGGAGAGGGCTTGGCTGGCACAAGACTGGCACCGCCTGTGGCTTGAGTGAAGTCCCCTGCAAAAGGAAAAACAGTAAATACATCCAATCAAAAAGTAAAACAGAGATAGCTTAGGTTTGTGAGTGAGCTGCTAGCAAGTGCTTTATATTTCTATCTAGTTTGCCGCTGTGACATGAGTGCACATGCATCAGCTCTATATACACGATGTACCCAACATGACAGAATACACATGAACAAAGATAAATACTGGGTTACATGTCTGACTGAGCATTACTGCGTACATACAGTGTGCCACATGACTGTGTCAACATGAATTCACACGCTGCCTTAACAAACCAGTGTGCAACATGTGCCCCAGGTCACAGAGACGAAGAAGATACACACAGCCTACATGCTCTACACAGCCACATTCTAAACCTGTCGTCAAACCTTGTTTATGAGCGTCTTTAAAGTGCAAAAAGCTCCTAAACAAAAGGCTCAAATGCAAACCCTCCAATTATTTGCATGCACATTAGTATAATTGCTGTATAAAGCTTAAAACTCTGTAGAACAGCTTTCAAGCCACATCAATGTTAAAAGCCATAACCGTGCTACTGAGGCATAATAAGAGATCAGTGCTACCAGTCTTGAAACATGCAGTGGACTACACTGAACTGGATTACATCCTCCTCTCTAAATTAAGTCAAGCCCTTATGTTAGAACCCTTTCGCCCATCCATTCATTCATCCATCCATCCATTCACATCCATCCATCCATCCATCCCAGCTGAGTAGAAGCTGAGTGAAAGCTGAGAGGATTTGCACTATAAAATTCACTTGATGCATTGCAGGCCCCAGCTGGAACCAGCTAAAGGGTCTCCCCTCATCCACATGCCAAATAAGAGAGAACAGCATTAAAAACATTCAACTGCTCACTCACACAGAAGTTGTCTCTCACATACACAAAGCACCCATCACACTCATTATCAGCTCATTATGTGCATGCAGCTCTTATATACCACATCCAAAGAGAAGCAATCAAGGCCAGTAAACAAGTTAAAGGCATTGGGAGGAAAATATGTTGGCAGTCAGAAAGGACGCAACACGATGAAGAACGCAGACTCTGAAGTGGGGCATTCCAGACACGGGCACCCTGGCCACAGAGATACCAGGGGGCCATCCTTTTACCTGAGCGCAGGCCTCCGGCCCGCCGGCACAGGTAGACAGGCAGGGACAGGTAGACATCGTAGTCGCACTCTCGCTTCCAGCAGGACCAGTAGAGCGGAAGCTGAGCATTCTCTCCCCCCTGCAGGGCGGAGACTAACAGGGAGGAGACGGAGGCCTTCAGCTGGAGTGGTCACTGAATGCAGGTACATGGTGCTACTGTATATGTTACTGTATAGAGTGCGCAATAAGGGAGGGGTGTGCCTTAAATGCTCATCATTCGGTCATTCATCAAAAAATTATGTCTTAATTACTATTGTTCTCCCTTCTCAAAAGAATAGTTCCACATTGTGGGAAATACCATTATTTGTTTTCTTGCCAAGAGTTAGATTGTTACAAGATTAATACCACACTCACGTCCGTCTGTTAAATATGAAGCCTTAGCCAGGAGCAGGGGAAACAGCTAGCCTGGCTCTGCCCAAAGGTAACAAAACCCAACGACCAGGTCTTATTAACATGATTCTCATGTTTAATGCATCAAAAACCTGAAGCTAAGCTAACTGTCTCCAGGATGTGTCTCTTCACATTCAACAGAAAGAGATTCTCATCTAAACTCTCAGCAAGAATATAAATATGTAAATTTCCCAAAACATCAAACAATTCCTTTAAAATGTAAAAGTTACTTTGACTTGATAGAGAGCTTCGGTATACGGTCAACAACGGCATCAGAGAACAAAAAGTTATCTAAAGTTTCTGGTGGCCTACTCTCGGTAGTCCAAACTTGTGTCGTGGTGAGCTGTATTCTATATCCTTTCCACCAACGATAAGCAATATAGCCTCAAGTGACCACCACCAGGCCATTGTAATACCCCCCTCCCCCATTTGTCCCATGACTCTCTGATGACATGACATGACCTCACAATATCGTTAAAAAAAAAAAAACCCTGCATAATTCAATCAGACAAATGCAACTAAAGGCATAACAAAAAGTGCACACAAGGAACCAGAAATCTTCAGATCTGCTGATAAGATAAAAATGAATCAAAGTAGACAGCCTTGCCCGACTGGGAATTAGGGCAAGCTCCCAGATGAGACAAACCCACAGTAAACAACAACAACCACTACACTGCATCTGTGCGAGCAGCCTCCCACAGCCACAAGAGTCCCTGTTATCTTCAGAGTGTAAAATGCTGGGGAAAAGTTGCAGATAAAATAGTCCAGGCGTACTAAGTAATTAGCTGGGGAAAAGCTGCTCAAGCTGTTCAGATAACATCATTAGCAGGGTAATGTGTGTGCAAGTGTGTGTTTGTGTGTGTGTGTAGCTAGCTGTGTTTGAGACTTCTCTTTGCCATCAGTTGTGCACTGACTCATAAATGTACGTATTGTATCCGCCGGTGGGAAAACTACATTCTAACTGAGCGGACATGAGCATTCATAAAGCACATTCAAGACCGTTTGTGCGGGCTGCATGTGATCATGCTCAATCTGTTACCTGTTAGCACCCACTATTAAATAAAACTTACCCAGCATGGCGGCGTTGCCCCTGTTCACAGGCTTGGGTGGGGGCAGAGGGGGCTGCTTGGTGCCCTGAGAGGTGGAGGTTGGGGCTACAGATGAGGACTGCTGAGTGGACGCACCCGCAGAGGACACAGACCTGACAGGTTTGGACGTTGCAGCCGAGGGGGCGGAAGGAGAGGAGTACTGGGTCGTGGGGTGGTTGGATGGGGTGCGGGGTTGACCCTTGCTGCTGGGTTCAGGGGTGGGGCTCGTCATCAGCCATTTTGGAGGCATGACAGACTGTTTAGGTGGCAGAGGTTCCCGCAGGGTGTCCCGCAGGGCTTCTGGGTCAGGGACAAAATGGCTGTCTGACTCTATAAAAAAACAAAGTATGAGGATATGTTATATAATAAAAGTTATTTCCACCAAAATAATAGTAAATGTGAGCAGAAAGGCATCCAGCTGTGGTGCACACGTAATATAATGTACTTGTATCTTTTTTTTAATATTGAATTAGTGATATCTCATTATAAAATACCTCTCTACATAGATATTAATGTTTCAGTTCAGGGACTGAGCACTGAGCCATTTTCTGCTGCTTCACCACTCAAAGCGCTCTCTGTGATAACACTTGTTTGAGAATTGCATTATCTAGGGATCAGCTGTGAAGATAAACAGAGTAGGCGGCTGCAATTACCACCGAAAAACCCACCTCCCTTTGCCCACCCCACCGCACACCCCCCTCCAAGCGGCCCCCACACTGCTGCGGCTGCTCCCACGCCATTCCTCAAAGCTGCAGCTCTGTTATTTATTTACAGACAAGCTTTTATCACTGTGACATCATACAACCAAAGAGGAAATAATCAAAGGAAAGGAGGAAGTGAGGATGAAGAACACAGAGGACAGAGGGAGAGAGAGAGAGAGAGAAAGGAGGACAGAAAGCAGGAGATGTGATAAAGATAGAAAAGAGTAGGAGAGAAAGAGAAAAGCCACATCAGAGAGAGAAAGAAAAAAGGAAAATACAAGGTGAGAGAGAGAAAC